CGGTCCCTGTGCTTTGCTGAGCTTGTTCTAAGTAGGTGCTTTAGACCACTGAGCCATCTCACCAGCCCAGCTTTTTGGTCTTTTAAGCTCTGATCAGAATGTCTCATATAGAACAGCTTTCTTTTATTGCTTTTTATAAACTATGTTTAAAAGCTTGTAATCCGCATGGTCAAGGTAGTCACAGCAATGACCCCACTCCTGGTACCAATTTTTTTTCCCCCCAGAACTGGGGATTGAACTCCAGCCCTTGTGCTTGACAGGGAAGCGTTTATTCTACTGAACCATCTCCCCAGCCCCCCAAATTTTATCTCAGTTACTCTTTTCTCTCCTCTCTTTGCTGGGACAAAATATCCAACACCCAAAATTAAGGAAGGAAAAGTTTATTTAGCTCACAGCGGCAGTTTTAGTCTTTATTAGCTGGCTGCAAGGCAGAGTGGCACATGGCATAGAGCAGCCATTTATGGCAGCTGAAAAGAGCAAAGGGAGGGGCAGCAGCACTGGCGGCTAGCAAGCTGCTCTCCCCTCCTCACATGGTAACACAGATTACCTGCCCCAGAGCAGATGCAGCATCCGCACCCACATTAATCACAAACTGGAGAAGCTGCCCCATGACTGTATGAGGTGTTGGGTGGGGAGCACCTATACACACACCATGACAACTCTGAAGCACATACTGTTTTTGTTGTTGTTGTTGTTTTTAATTTGAGACAGGGTCTCACTATGTAGTTCTGGCTTGGAACTATGTAGCCCAGGCTGGCCTCAAATTCGAGGCGATCCTCCTACCTCAGCCTCCAGAGTGCTGGAGTTATAGGTGTGTACCACCATGCCTGGTTCAGCACATCAGTTTTCTGAAACTCCTAAGAGCACACCCTTCCACACCATCACTTCAGTGATGACCAGCTTCATGGTGCCGAAACACGGTACAGACTCTGCTCTCCATCACTCCCTCAGTGGTGATCCCTCCGTTGTAACTTCTTACCTTGTCCTCCTCCCAGGCCTCCTGGAGCAGCCTACGAACTGACTACCCTACTCTGACCCCAGCTCAGCTCCACCATCTGCTCAGCCACTACCAGCTGGGTCCTGGGCTCAGGCCACCACCTGCCTGGGACCCTCCCCCAGCAGAGCGAGATGTGGTGGCTACAGGTGAGGAGGAAGGGGGAAAACCAGCAGTGGGCTGGCAGCTTTCTTCTTACTCAGGACTAGGAGTCCATCTTCCCAGATCCCAGCTTCTGACCCAACATTCTGGACAGTGAGCCCTTTCCTGTCCCAGGATCTAAATGCTGGACCCACCGCCCTTCTCCCCAGGATATGAGTTCAAGCATTCAGTTCCTTGTTATTTCTCAGGATTCGGGTCTCCAGCCCCTTCCGTCTTTGATCTCTCACTCATGTCTGCTTCCAGACCCCTCCACCTTCAGAAATTCCTAGGACCAAGTTCCCAGTCCTTCCTCAAGCACTTAAGCAAGTGGCCGTTTCCAAGGCAACTGTGGTTCGCCTCAGTCTTTTTTTTTTTTTTTTTCATTTTTTTTTCTTTTCAAAGTTTTATTGATAAACATATAGCAATGAGACAGTTTCAAATCAAATCGAAAGTACAGTTTCAACAAATAATACACTGCATATATTCTTCTTAGTGGTTAATTGCTGTACAAGATGCAGACTTGTGATCCTATTTACAAACACCATTAGAAAAAATCATTCTATTCATTAAGAGAATGCAACTATATATCTATCCCAACCACTTTGAATACACAGATACAAAATGGACATTCATAGTTATACCCCATTTTTTTTAAGTTCCGTTATTGAATATTATAGGTGTGTAAACTCAGCAAAATATTCTAAAAGAGTCCAGTAGCCCATAATAGCATTGGGTCTTCTGTTTAACTGGCAATGTTGGAAATTCTTGACCTGAGTCCCCCACAGCTCAACATAACAACATGGCTTTACTTCCTATATTTCGTCTTCATACTTTTCTACTGGATGGTTAAGACCAAGGTAAAGTAGGACCTGTGCAACAAGAGTTGTAGCTTTTTGGTCTGAGAAGGTCAGTGAAATGCCCTCAGGATTTATTCTGAGATCCTGTACCTCAGATTGTAGAACCTTTGTCAGTGCAGCCATATGGATGAGTCACGGCCATTGCTTGGCCAATGTGCTCTCTGTGAAAGCCTGAGAGAGTGTCTTCTCCCCATGTGACTCTCCTTAGGCACACTCTATGTCATCGATCACTTTCCTCTTTGGCCCCATAATCTTCTTGATCAGAAAATTTGGGACACTACTGAGGTACATGATGTTACAGTACAAGTTCTCATATGTCCTGAGTCTTAATTGACCTCGCCTCAGTCTTGACTACAAATCCCATCATGCTTCGGGACCTGAGCATTATGTTTTTGACTTGATCCCGCTCTAGTATTTTTGCCCCCGATTTGGGAGTGGTTGAACTGCCTCACACCCATTTTCACACTAACACCATCTTCTTTGGTCTCATAGGTGACATCTTCGAAAGCTTCTCCTCACATCCTCCCCTCATCCTGCCCTTGGGCAGCCCTCGCCTGTGCCTCACAGAACCGGTGACTAACGACGCTCTGCACTGCGAGCTGCGCAGGCTCCGCCGCCTCCTCTGGGATCTTGAGCAGCAGGAGCTGCCGGCCAATCACCGGCACGGACCTCCCGTGACCACGCCTCCCTAAAAAACCTATAGCAAGCAAGCGCGCGAACCTTGAAGCATTCCTCGGCGCCAACTCCTGGAGAGTTGAGCTTTCTGGGAGTTGTAGTTCTTGCCCTGCGAGGGAAACAAAGGTGGTTTTCGGGTAGTAAAGGATGGGACTATGGGAAGATGGGCTTGGGATGTGAGTGCCAAGGGGCAATAAAAGTATATGTGGTATTGTCAACGCCTCACTTATTAAACTCGAGCGTGAGGGCTCTAGCCCGGAGTGTTGGGCCCATGCCGAGCCTGAGGAGGTTATTTATAGTCTCGGCCTCTGCTTGCCCTCATGCGTGAAATCCAACCCAGGAGCACTGGAGCCTCCCACACACCTCACAGTACAGCCTTGTGCAAGCTCGGCCGAATATCAGGCTTGGCCATACAGTGGGAACCAATTGTCCCTTCCTGCCACTCCCAAACCCTATATCCAACTCTTCTGCCTCTGACCCAGGCATCTGGCCTCTCCCTCATCCAGATCTGCCTGCCTGTTCCGCACACACCGAATGCCAACTCTGTTTCTAGCACTTCCTCTCCCTGACCCATGAGTCCAAACCTCCAGCCTCCTTTCTTAGACCCAGGGATCTGGGCCTTGGGTTTGAACTTTCCCCTCCTCTGAACCTGATTCCTGTTGCTGCGTCAGGGAAAAGAGGGCGACAGGTGGCACCTGCTGGCAGGGTTGGGATAAGACCACCTGTCGCTGCTGCTCACCCGCACCCCTCTGCCTGCACCTGTTCCTGTCTGTCTGCCTGTGGGCTGCTGCACCAACCCACAACCCCAGGAATTGAGGAGGAGTGAACCAGGACCCGAGGCCGGCCCCACCCCTTCCCATGCCCCAGAAGAGGCTCCCCTATATCCGCCCTGCTCCCCAGCTCTCTGCATCCCAGAAAGGGGCATCTAAGACGCCCCAGCGGGCAGGTGGGGCAGGGCCTGGAGTCTCAGCCTGAACCGGACACTGCCCGCCCTAGCACAGCTGCCTCGACCCCATCTGGTGAGGAGCCCCTGGGTCAGGGGAGGGACTCTGTTACACTTAGGCGGGGTCCTAGTCCCTGCTCTAAGGCCAGGGTGGTTGGCTGTCACCCACCCATTTGCTTTCTCACTTGCCTGGACACTCTAACCCTTTGAGACCTCTCAGATCCCCCTTCTTTCCACTGAAAATCTTGGATTGGATGTCTCAGACTTCTGTTCCAGTCCTGAACTTCCAATCCTTCAAGATAAAGGGTCTGGGCCTCTCTCCTTCCTCCATTTTCAAAGGTTCCTAGTGGCCTCCTTAGGAACAGGAGTCCTAGACCCCAGGTCTGTCCCATTCAGTACTGGGGAGTTGACACCCCCAGTCTCCTTCCTCAGACCCAGGGCTCCAGGTCCTTATACTCCTCCCTCGGACCTACACACTAGGTCCCTGGGTAGAAATCATGACCACAGGCTATATCCATCTTGAACTTTCAGGCTTTCCTGAGCTACTGGCTGCCAGCCTGCTCTCTGGGGGGGCCCTGCCCTCTCCCGATCCAGGTCCCATTCCGGCCTTGACAATGACCCTGGCGGCTTCCTCTCAGCGCTCCCAAATCATCCGGTCCAAGTTCCGATCTGGTGAGAAGCCTCTCCTAAGGGCAGGCTGCAGCCTTATAGTCCTGGGAATGCTCTACTCTGGGTGGCAGGAAGGACCTTGGGCCCTCGCACAAAAGGCTGCTTGTGCATAATGGAGTCCTCAGCAAACAGTTGTGTCTTGAACACTATGAGTGTGCACACGGGAGAGGGGTGCCAGGCATGGGCGTGCAGTGAGGCAGGCCCTGGGCCACCAGCGGAACAAGGGCTTTAACTGACCAGGGTGCAAGGCAGAGGACTGGGATAGTGTGGTGAGGGGACTGAGCTATCAAAGCTTGGATGTGTCAAAAGTTACGCTTTAGGGCTGGGGAGATAGCTCGGTGGTCTAAGCACCCGCCTGACAAGCGCAAGGACCTGAGTTTGATCGCTGGTACTACATGCCATGCTGGCCCTGGAACCCCAGGAGCTGTGCCAGCCACTGAAACCGAGCGTGGTGGTGCACGCCTGTAATCCCAGAGCTGGGGAGGCTGAGACGAGGAATACTGAGTCTGAGCTGCATAGCAAGACCCTGTACCAAACAAATAAATACATAAAGGATTTTTAAAAAATTATGCTTTAGAGCTGTGTGTGGTGGCACACTCTGCTGTCCCAGAACTTGGGAGACCAAAGTGGGAGGACATTTACACATTCAGGGCCAGCCTGGGCTGCGTAGTTCAAGATCGTCCTGGATTACATAGCAAGACTGTCTCTAAAAGAAGAAAAAATAAGTTACGTTTTGGGCCTCAGGGCAGGAAGACTGTGGGTTAATTCCTGAGTAGGCAAAGGGTACGTGAGTGTGCAAAGGCATGTGCTTACGTGCTTCAGTGTGTGCAGAGACACCAGTCGCTGCAGAGCCAAGAGCGTGTGCCAGGGTTCAGGTGTGTGGAGAAGAGCAGAAATGTGTGGCAGGAGAGCCGAGAGTGAGAGCCGGATGCGGCTGGTTGGCTGCCAGAGTGCAGTGCAAGGTGGGGGGGAAGCCCACAGAAAGGTGGGTGTGCGAGGGGCGACCGTGGGAAGGGCTGGAAGGCAGCTGTGTGTCCACAGTGGGGGGCACAGGGTGAGGTATAATGGGCCAGGCAGTTACACTGGCGAGTTGCCGGATATGGAGTGTGCACAGCTCAGCATGAGGCAGGTGGAGCTGGGGAGAGGGCTGGCTCCCAGCCCCAGAGCAGTGGCTCAAGCATGGGCTGAAGGGAGCAGGCAAGCCCAGGAAGGCAGCTGGCTGCCCACCACCTGCTGGGTGGGTAAGGGGGCCGGGCACGAGTGTCTGCCAAGGACTGCACTGCCACCCGTGGGGAGCCAGGCTCCTGGATGCTCTCGTCCTACCTCCCACTCCTTCCACAGTCCTCCAGCTGCGACTCCACAGACGGAATCAGGACCTGAGTAAGTGTGGGCTTGAAATGGAGGGAGGGCATGGTGGCCCCACTGCTCTGGGACACCCTTGAGTTCTTCCAACAGGTCCCTCACTGGTTCCTGCAGCTCAGTCCCTATGTGTGGCCTGGAGCACATGGAAATCCCATCCTGTCCTTTCCCGGGGACTCAGGAGTCCAGGTCCCTGCCACTCCACCCCTAGGAAAGAAGAACCCCACACTATCTGCTCCAGGCATGTGACCCTCAATACATCCCTTGGTGATCAAGGACAAAATTCCTGGCTTTTGTTTTGCTTTTTTGAGACAGGGCCTCACTGTGAAGCCCAGACTGGCCTCAAATTTGAGATGATCCTCCTGTCTCAGCCTACTGAGTATGCTACCATTCCTGGCTTCCTGGCTTCCTGAGAATGGGAAAATTTATGTCCTCACCACCTCCACCCTCAGATCCAGGAATCAGGGTGCCCACCTGGCCCCCATACCCTGGTCCTGGGCACTTCTTTCCCGGTTCCATGGCGGGCTTGCTATGTGTAGCCCTCAGGGCCCTCCACTCTCTCTCTAGCCTCAGATCCGGATCCATGGATCTCAGCCCCAGGCCCAGCTCTGGCTCCAGCCTTGCCCTCCACCCCAGCCCCTTTCCTCTTCAGCCCTGGAGTCCTGCTTCCTGAGCTGCAGCACTGCCCGTGGCAGTGCCCACAGCAGGTAAGTCAGGCCACAGCGAGACCTAGCCGTGGTCCTTGTCCCTCTCCAGCACCAGGCTGACCCTGGGCTGACCCAGGTAGGCCTGGATATTGAAGCACAGGACATCACACCCGCTCTTTCAGGAGTCACCCAAGGTTTCCCAACGCTGGAGGGCGTCCAAGCCCCAGGGGACCTTGACCTACCACCAGTACAGGCCCCAGGAGCCAGGCCGGAGCACCAGGGCAGAGCCCCCAGGCAGGCCACCTCCTAGGTATGACTCATTTCTGCTCTCTGCAGACCCAGAGTTTCTGTTCCCGTCCTTCTCCTGTGTCCAACTGAGTCCAAGGTGGTGGGATAGTGCTGGCCCCAAACCCCTCCCTCCCCAGACCCCCGGAGCCCACCTCCCAGCTCCTCTTCTTTCAGACTTCTACCTCATGTATTGCTCCCTTGGAGACCCCAGAATTCTCCGCTCCTGCTGTCCCTGACTTTGGGGACCCCAAAGGGCTTTCTTCCTGCCCCTCTAATCTTCGCCCTCATGACTGTCCCTAGGACGAAGCCTGTGCCCCTCATTCCCTCCCCACCAGGAGACCACAGCCCCTCGTCCCCACCACACAAGTTGGAACTTCAGACCCTTAAACTGGAAGAGCTGACGGTGAGTTTGGGGGGCACCTTTCCAGGCCAGGCTTTTTCTTCTGTGAGGGCCAGACTCCTTTTGGGGAAGGATGGAGGCACTGGGGACTGAATCAAAGTTTCACACTGAGTTATATTCCGGCCCTTTAAATTTGTGTTAAGATTTTTAATTGAGGCAGTGTCTCTCTAAGTGGCTAAGTATTCCGGGCTGGGCTCGACTCTGCCACCCTCCTGCCTCGGTGCCTGAGTGCTCGGATCACACGCATGCGCCTCCTGGGCTGGCTGAGCAGCCCAGACCTCGAGCCTGCACCTCGCAGCCATCCAGGAATTTGGATCTTCAGTCTCATTCTTCCGTAGGGCCCCAGGAGGCCGGATCCAGTCTGCCTTGGCAGTTTCCAAATGTCCTAGCCCGGTCTGGCATGGTGAAGCACTCCAGTAATTCCAGTACTTGGGAGGCTGAGGCAGAACTGCCACGAGTTTAATTAAGGTCACAGCCCGGGATAAGCACTGAGTTCAAGATCAGCCTGAACTACATAGCTAGACCCTGTCTCAAAATAAAAACAAAATGCTCTGGCCCCGACTGTGCTCGGAAACCCCTCCAGCACCGTCTTGCCCTGTCCCCTCCCCAGGTCTCAGAGCTCCGACAGCAGCTGCGCCTGAGGGGCCTCCCGGTGTCCGGGACCAAGTCGATGCTTCTGGAGCGCATGCGCGGCGGCGCCCCGCCCCGCGAACGGCCGAAGCCGAGACGGGAAGACAATGCGGCGGTCGCTCCCTGGCCACGCCTCAGACCCAAAACCCTGGGAATCGGCCGGCGGCAGGGCGGGGTGAGGGCGGGGCTATGCGTTTGTGAACCAATGAAAAGAGGATAAAGGGGAGTGGGGCGGGAAGCCAATCAGGTGAGGGGGGCGTGACCAGGCGGCGCAATTCAAAGTGGGGGCGTGGTTAAGGGGAGGGTCTCAAGCGAAGAGAAACCAATGAAAACATAGGGGGCGAGGCCAAGGGAAGAGATTGAATTCCCGCAAAGGACCCACTGGAGCCGCAGACTACGCGTGGATGGGCTTGTCCCCGGTTTTCGTGGTTTACAGGATCTTGCTGGTTTTGCGGTTCCAGGTCAAGTTAAATCCTGCGCCCTCCCGGCCACCTCGTCCACGATCTGCGGATGCCCTGGTAGTAGCCCCGCCACCTGTTCCAACTCAGGCTCCAGCTCCGGTCCTAACGCCTTCCTCAGCACCAGCCTTAGCCTCCAGGACTCTGGAGGAGGAGCTGCAGGAAGCGATCCGGAGGGCACAGGTGCGCGTGTGGTGCCCAGCAGGGTCTGGGCTCAGGTTCTGGGCTGGAGCTCCGCATTAACTGTGTCGCTGGTCCACAGATGCTTCCGAGCCGGGGTATTGATGACATCCTGAAGGACGAGGTGGAGCCTGATGGTAAGACACTTCTGGGTGGGCTCTGGAAAAGGAGGAATGCTGTTCTGGGGACCTCTTCCCTGATGTCAGAGCCTCATGCCCCGCCCCGTTCCTTCTGCAGACCTGCTGCCCCCCATCCCCCTGGACTTCCCCGGGTCCTTCGACGTCCTGTCCCCCTCTGCTGACTCCGAAGGCCTCTCCTCTGTCTTCTCGTCTTCGATCCCATCCCTAGCGAATTCCCCCTCCTCCTCTCCTGAGGGACCCACAGAAGCCTTAGACTGGCTCGAGGCCCTGAGCGGAGGTCCTCCCCTGGGCTCTGGCCCCCCAGGCCCCAGCATCTTCTGTGCTGACTTATCTGATTCCGGTGGCGCTCAGGTGTGGGACCTGCTGGAGGATCCGTGGTGATGGATTCTGGGGTATCCAAGGCCTGAGAACTGGTGGAGGGGGTGGCCACAGAGACTCCCCTGGGGTATGGAGCAACCAACAGAGCCCCTCCTGCGACAGACACAGAATCAAAGACAACCCATGTCCCTTCATGTCCCAGAGCTGCTGCCACCACCCAGACCACAACCTGGACTTTGTCTGCTTGGCCTGTGTGTGACTTGCCTGTCCCCAAGGCTGTGCAGGTGGGGTGGGGGTTTGAGTGCTGCTGGCTGGGCCAACATGCTGCTTGCTGCTTCCTTTCAAGGCCTCATGGGTAATTTTATCCTCAACCCCCCCAACACACACACACACACATACACACATACATACACACCACACACACACAGTGCCTGCCCGTTGTCTGAGGAATCTAGAGGATGGTTCCGGATGTAGACGGCAAGGAAAAGTAAGGAGAACAAAGAGGGTCTGAATCCCGGGGGGAGGGGAGGAGTGAAACCCTGCGTTCTAGTTGGAGGTGGGATGGTGGGAAGTGTCCTGTCTGAGGATAACAAGATTCAGGCACCAGTTATTCGCTTTCAAGAGGTATCAGTAAGGGAGTAGAGCAAAGGGATGGCAAAGGGGAAGAAGAAGAGTCAGAATGTGGCCTCATACTGAGCCTCCACCGCATCCTGATTCTGTGAGGCACAGGAACTGGGGCTTTGTGTCTCCCCACCTGGGCTTACAATTCCTGAAGCCATAAACAATAACTGGGGCACCTCACAATCACTGGGGATGACTGGGCTCTGCTGGGTGGTTCTGCAGTTCCATGTGGTGGTGACCAGAGACAGACTGCTGCAGCCCAGCTGGGCTGGGACATTCCAGGTGGCACACTCAGGTGTGTCAGGCACTTTGGCAGGGATGCTGGGACGGCTTTTTCTCCATGGAACGGCAGAATCTTCCTGTATCTGGTTTTTCCAGCAGGATGTCTGGACTTCTGTGATACTGTCATCAGGTGATTGTGTGTGTGTGTGTGTGTGTGTGTGTGTGTGTGTGTGTATGATGAAATTAGACATGGTCTGATTCTAGAGCCTGCTCTCCACTCTCACCACTGTCCACCCTCCCCCTTGGAGGCGAGGCTCTCCCACCTGCTTCCTGAATGTTACCCCTGATTGAGCGTTCTTGTTCAGTTTGTATGGAATGAAGAATTGGCAGAGTGTAGTTCTTTTGACATTCACAGCCCTGAGCTTTGAAAGCCACTGGCTTTCAGCTCCGTCAGTGTTAGTGCCCGCCCCCCGCCCCCCACAACTTGGAGCCAGCATCTACAACACACTGTGGGAACTTCTGGAATGGGCAGCTCCCAGCAAGCCTTTACGGCTCCCTGGCTGTCAGGCGTCTTCAGTTTTACTAGCTCTGCCCACTCAGTGCCAGCTGCCCTTGGTGTTGCCAGCTAGGAGAGGCTACTCAAGACAGAAACCCTACCCTCTGGAAGAGCTCTGTTAGAACCCATGCTGCATAGAGAGGAGCAGTGTCTGGGCAGAGCCAGACTGACCCAGGGGAGGTGCTTAGGTAGGGTACTCTCAGCACGGCAGGTGGAAGCTCAGAGTCATCTGTGACAGAGGCCTGTGGCCCCCAAAGCAGCGGTCTCCAGCAGGGCCTGGTGGCACACTCCTATCATCCCAGGACTCAGGAGACTGAAGCAGGAGGATCACAGAAGTTCGAGGACAGCTTAGGCTACATAGTAAGTTCTAGGCCAGCCGGAACGACATAGCGAGACCCTGCCTCATCAAAACAGAACACAACATAGGGAGTCCATATAGCCATGCTCTGGCTGCAGGACATTTGGAGCAGTGACAGAATAAAAGCTTGTAGGGGGACATCAGATCTCCATAGTTTCAGTTCTGAGGGCTCCCAAAAGCGAGCATTCCCAGGGGAGGGAGCAGAAGGTGCCAGTGCTTTAAAGACTTGGCTTGGAACTGCCCCGAATACACATCTGCTACGTTCCTCAGACGAACCAGGCAGGGGGTGGGAGGTGGGTTACACATATTGGGTATATCAGGGTGTGGTCATCGATTGCCACCATGCCCCCTGCAGTGGTGCCATGGGTCACATGCGGTGGTGGAGGGGAAAAGAGGAAAGGAGAAAGGACTGAAATACCTAGGCATTTCCAGCCCAAGGGCTGTCTAGGCAGAAGGTCAGAGGGTGAACCTGTTAGCAACAGTTCTCTTTTGTTTTGTGAGGCTTTTTTTGTTTTGTTTTGTTTTGTTTTGTTTTTAGACAGGATCTTGCTATGCAGGCTGGTCTTGAGCTCACTTTGTAGCCCAAGCTGATCTTGAACTCAAAATGAACCTCCTGCCTCAGCCTCCTGAGTGCTGGGATTATAGATGTATGCCACCACAGCTGGCTTCCTATTTGTGGTTTTGAGACAGGGTCTCTCAATCTAGTCCAGGCTGGCCTAGAACTCACTATGCTATCCAGGCTGGCCTCGAACTCCTGCCCCAGCGATCCTCTTGTCTCAGCCTCCTAGATGCTAAGGAAGGGGTCTCTTTCCAGAGATCTCGGGAGATGAGAGGAAGGAACAGACAGGCCCAGGGCCGGTGTGAGACTTCAGTCAGCTCAGAGTCCACAGCCTGGCCCCTCAGAATAGAGAAAAGAAAGAACCTCTGTTTTGCTGAGGCTCACAGATTTGTGAAATAACGTCAGTGCAGAGTGTTGTTTTGTTTGGTTTTGGTTTTGACATTGAACTTAGGGCATTCACATCGAGTTACATCCCCAGGCTTTTTTTTTTTTTTTTTAACTTTAAGACAAGGTCTCCCAGTCAGTAAGTTGCCCTGGTTGGGTTCAAAAGTGATGCTTCTGCCTCAGCCTCCTAGAGTGCTGGAATTTACATGCACCACACCAACGAGCCAGAGAACTGTTGTTAATGGCAGTGGCAAAGAGGACTGTGGGGCTGTGGCTCCTAGAGAGGACAGAAGCCCTGAAGGAATGGGGCACAGCGTCAGAGACAGCACTTTTAGCCACGCCAAGGGTGAGGAAGCCCTGGTCAGAGGAACCTTCTGGAAGTAGCATCCTCTGACAGGAGTCTCAGAGGCCTGAGGCGCAGAGAATGGAGATTTGAGGGGCACAGAACTCATATCAGTCTGAGAGTGGGTCGGGGCAAAGGCAACACTGAAAGGGTCAGGAAGGGGAGAACCAGCTGCTTCTGCCTCCATTTCTCTCTGGAGACTTCTGATGTATCTATTTCCTTGTCAGTCTTTCTCCTCTACCTGAGAGCTCAGGTCCCTCCCTGTCCCAGTTTTTTTCTTTTCTTTCTTTCTTTCTTT